CGGGTCACGCCCGGAAAAGGTCGGGGCGGTTGACGGCCGCCGGCGACCTAGCACGGCGCTGCACGCCGCCGAGACGCCGCCGAGAGCCGCCGCCGGCTGCGTCGCGACCGCCGCCGCGCGGCTCGCGGCGGTGGACCCAGCATCTCCGCTCGGCGCCGCCTATATACTCGACCGAGACTCGGGTCACGGCCGGGAGAGCGACGGGGCTGGTAGACGGCCGCCGGCGACCTAGCACGGCGCTGCACGCCGCCGAGACGCCGCCGAGAGCCGCGACAGCCCCTGTCGAAACCGCCGCCGCGCGGCTCGCGGCGGTGGACCCAGCATCTCCGCTCGGCGCCGCCTATATACTCGACCGAGACTCGGGTCACGGCCGGGAGAGCGACGGGGCTGGTAGACGGCCGCCGGCGACCTAGCACGGCGCTACACGCCGCAGAGACGTCGCCGAGAGCCGGCGCCGGCTGCGTCGCGACAACTGAGTCCGCGCGCCACGCGCGGGCGAGGGGAGCGGCGACGGGTCGGCGGGCGACGAGCCGCAGCAGCTGCGCCTAAAAATGAGGTGGCGGCGGGAATAAAGCGTCATCTGCCGTGCGGGGAAGCGATCGCCGCCCTCGAGCGCGCCGCGCCTCATTTTACACCCAGTCCGTCCGAACCAACGCGACAGCTCGGTGCGCGCGCCGTGCTCGCGCGGCGGTGAGGGGGGTGGCGATGTGGGCGGTGCCGGCGGCGAGCCGCAGCAGCGCAACGGCAACGAGAGCGCCGGAGAGGAGGCGCTCAAGAAGTGGCGCATCTCAATAGCGCTGCACCACGGCGGAGACTTTGGCAGAGTGGACATCGCACTCGGCAGCCTACTCGAGCTCGGTGCTGCACGCCGCTGCTGTCTCGAGCGAGGCTGAGCGCCCAATGAGCAATGTCGACCAGCCGCCTGAGGGGAGGGGTGGGATGCGAGAGGTCGGGGTGGAGGGCAGGTGGCGGCCGCTGGGTCGGGGGAGGGTGGGCGACGCGGTCTCGGGCGGCAGACGGCGCCACGAGGGCGCTCCGGAAGGCTGGAGCGCCGGGGGCCCCAGCCCTCCGGAAACTGTGGCCTCGCCACTCCGGAAAACGCGGATTTGGGGGAAAAGTCTCTATACACACCTGGAGGTAGCCCGCTCCCGTCGCACTTCCGTCGCCGTGTGTAGAGCTCAGCAGGACTCGCTCCACTAGCCAAGCCGCTGCCACCGCGAACGATGTCACCGCCACGCGTGGCCGTCATCGGGGGTGGCGTCGCTGCTTGCTCTCTCGCGCACGGACTGCGCGACAGCCTCGCCTCCAGGGCGGTGTCCCTCCACGTCTTTGAGATGGGCAGAGCGTCGGGAGGTCGAGCGGCGACGCGCGGAACGCGAGACGACCCCGGCCTTCGAGTCGACCACGGCGTTCCCGCCTTCGCCGCGCTGACGCCTGAGTTCGGCGCCCTCTGCGAGAGCCTCGTGGCCGCCGACGTGCTGCGACGCTGCGACGGCGACGGCTCAGCCTTCGGCGTGCTGCGGAGCTCCGGCACTTTTGAGGCGGAGGACGCGGCCGGTGCCCCGACGAGGTATCGGCCACCGGTCGGCAAGGGCATGAACGCTCTCTGCGACGGCCTGCTCGGTGGCGAGTCCACGCTCGCCAACTTCACGCCCAGCACGATGGTGACGAAGGTCGAGCCGGTCGCAGCACAGTGGAGGCTGACCTCGAAGGGCGGCGTCGACCTGGGTACTTTCGACTGGCTCGTCGTCTCCTCGACGGGCCTCGCGCACCCTCGCTGGCGCACCACCTTTGGCGGAGAGCCTCCCCTCGTCGAGGCTGCCGCGGCTCTCGGCGACACTGCGCTCGACGCAACCCTCGCCGCCCTCGTCCCGCTGCAGTCCAAGCCCGTCACGGCCGCCGCGCCCTCCGCGCTGCGCCGAAGCGGCGACGCGCCCCTCTCTCCGAGCCTGCTCGCCGCCTCCCTCATAGGCTGCGATGCTTGCATACGGCTCCGACGCGGCGGCCGCGTGGGCGTCGCTCCCCTTCTTCAAGGCGCAGGTGGAGGCGCTACCTCGGCGCTCTCTCGGCGCTCTCTCGGCGCTCTCTCGGCGATCACTCGGCGCTCTCTCGGCGATCTCTCGGCGACATCTGTCGCCGACATCCCCCCTTCTTCGAGGCGCAGGTGGAGGCGGACCCCGTCCTCTCTCGCATCGTCGTCCAGCGCGTCAGCCAAAGCCTGACCGCCGTGGTGCTGCACTCCATCCACGAGCTAGCCACATCTCGGGCACATCTCGGGAGATCTCGGCTGTATCTCGGGCACAGGTGCTGCACTCCACCCACGAGTTTGCCCGCTCGGCGGCGCACGTGTACGGCGCAACCTCGACCGCCGCGCGCATCGCCGGGGCAAAGTCGGACGCGGGCGAGGAGGCGCGCCGGAGGGCGGAGGGCAAGCATCTGCCGTCAACGCGCGGCCTCTCACACCGGCAGCGTGCGCCCTCGCGTAGGGACGCATCCTCGACGCGATGCTGGTCGCGGCGGAGAAGCGGCTGGGTGGCCTGCTCGGTCCTGCGGCGGCGATGCGCAGCCCGGCCTGGGGCCCGCACCTGCACCGCTGGGGGGCGGCCTTCCCGGACGCGCCCCTCCTGCCCGAGGGTCGGGCCGTGGTCCCGAGCGCGCGGGTCGCCTTCTGCGGCGACTTCGTGGAGGGCGGCGAGGGGCGAGGGGGCAGCGTCGAGGGCGCGGCGCTGAGCGGGCTGCGCCTGGCGAAGGCGCTGCAGCGCGAGATCGGGGGACTGTGCGGCGCGGATTGATGACGACTCTGGTGCCTTTGATCTCATCGTTGCAGCCAGCGTTTGGCGCATATGGCGGCGCCCTGTCTTCTCCTGCATGTGCATGTGCATGTAGCATATCTGAGCATGTGTGCACATGTACATCAATCATCATGTTCGATGTTGTTGTGTGTGCATGTGCATGCCAAATGCAAAAAATAGGAGGAAGTGCACAGACTACACGACACAAACGCCCACGCAGAGGCCCCCTGCATCAAGGAGGGGGGGCGAGGGGCATCTGGCGACCCTTGCCACATTCTCTTCATTATGTGCAAAACTTTTAATTTACGAAAGAGCCGCGTACATTCGGCACTTGGGACAGATAGAGATCTTGCGCTCTGTGCGTCTTGCAGTCCCTATTCCTCCTCCTCCTCCTCGTCCTCGTCCTCGTCCTCCTTGTCCTCCTCCTCGTCGTTCACTCCCCATTCCGCGCAGTCGCAGCAGCAGTGCCGGTGGTACCCACATCCTCCGCAGGTGGAGTTGCAGCTCCGGTGGTACATCTTGTGGCAGCTGGAGCACGCCTGTCCAACGCCCTTGTGCCCGCCAGCGGCATCAGGGTTGAAGACGCCGCATCCTCGGCACTGCCACATCGACAGCTGACCATGCTTCTCAGCAAACCAGTCGTGACGCGCCTGCTGAGAGGTCTTCGTCCACGCCTGCTCAGAGGGCCACCGCTCGATCCTGGCATCGATGAAGCACGCCTCACACGCTTGCTCCCAATCCGGCACGCGTGTCAGCCTCTCGCAAATCATGCACTTCTGCGACACGCCCAGCTGCAGCAGGTTGCGGCCGCTCACGAGCTCGAGCGAGTGCACTCGCGCTTTGTTGACACGTGCGTTCGGAAGGGAGTCGCCGATTTGAATTTCGTCGAGAAGAGCGGCCGCGACCATCTTCGGCACCGGCACTCGCAGTCTCGGCCACGCCGCCTCCACCGCAGCCTTGTGCGCCTTGTTCAAGACGGCAGCTCGCGAGAGGAAGTGCGCATCGCCCTGCGCTGCCATGCCGTTGAAAATGGACTCGCAGAGGTCGGTTGGGAGGTCGGTCAGTCCAAGCGGATGAGCCTCCGCGTACGCGACTCGGACGGCGCGGCGCGTCAGGACCTGCCCCATTTCTTGCAAGACTAGCAGGTTGGCTCGCTAGTCGCTCGCCGGGCCCGCGCAGCACGCGCGGGCCTTTTTTGTGGTTGATAAAGTGGCACCTTCGACATTGCACTTGGAGCACTTGGAGTGCCGATTCCGTTTCTCGAGGTTCTCGAGGTTTTCTTTATAGGAGAGAGAGTTGTATTGTCTAAATTCTTTATGCTGTCCTCCTATTTTTACTATTTAGGATTCCTAAGCTTAAAGGCCCGCTAAACGCGCGAGGCGGTGGCGGCGGTGGTGCGGGGGATTGGCAGGGGAGGCGGCGGGATTGACAGGGGATGGGGCGGCCACGAGCGGAGCGGCGGCGAGAGGGGGGGCGGCGGCGAGGGCGCGAGGCGCCAACGAGCGAGGAGCCCGCGCCATCAGAGGGACGCGCCGCTGCGAGATGGAGGGCGGCGGTGACGGAGGCAAGGCGCGAGGCGGCGGCGGCGGCGGCGGCGGCGGCGGAGGCGGCGGCGGCGGCGGCGGCGGCGAGAACGGCGGCACCGAGTTGTACGGCGGCACGTCGTTCCTGGCGCTGGTGGTTTGAGGTCGGCATCGTCCAGAGTTCGGTCGACGAGTCGAGAGCTTCAGCTGGCCGAGGGTGCCACCTTTGTGCTCTTTGTGCACGAAATGGGAAATATATCTCTTTGATCTGAATTCTCTCTGCCGCCATCCCATCCCCCCCCCCCCAAACCGGTTGCCTGTCCGGTTGCGCTTTTGTGTGCTCGCGGGGGAGGAGGACAGGGTCCGTTGTAAAAAGAAAGAAAAAAGACCAGAGAGGTGTAGGGAGGCGGGAAAAGCCAAAAAAGCCGTCAAAAAAGCTCTCTCTCTCAAAAAGCCGGCCAGCCTCCCGTTACGCGATTGCTCGCGAAGCGCAGCATGATGCGCGGCCAGCGTGGGAGCAGGTCGGCGCCGACGCTGCCAGAACTAAGACGAGACCGCGACCGACGGCGGGCCGTGCTGGCGAGCATCCGCGCTGCTGACGACGGGCTCGAGACTGCCCTTGAGAGCGACGAGATCCTCGCATGCTTTGAAGAGGCGCTCGGCGAACGGCAGCCAGATATGGGAACGGATGCTGCAGCAGGGCGAGAGGCGAACGCCGAGAGTGCGGAGGCCGCACCGCGACTGGAGGCTGCAGCAGAGCACAGCAGAGGGAACATTGCCCTCTTCCTCTTCTTGGAGGTGTCACGGTCCTCTGGGCGTTCATCTGCCTCTCGAGCGGCCGCGTCGCAATCACACTCGCCGCCGTCTTAATCCCTCGGTGTATTATTATTAACAACGAAGGCGCTCTCAAGAAAAAGACAAGAAAGACGAGTCTCGAGTGCGGGGCTGGGCCCTGGGGCCGTCAGGCTGTCAGGTGCTGTCACAGGCGGTGCTGTCAGACGCTGTCGGAGCTGTCAGAGCTGTCAAGCCGCTGCTGCGGAGCTGACCGCCTGTCAGAGACGTAGGGCCGGTGCTGTCAGGTGCTGTCAGGTGGTGCTGTCGGGGTGGCGGGTGCTGTCAGGGGAGGCCTGCGTTGCCTGCGTTATCCCTCCTCCTCCGCGACTCCCTCAAGGCCGGCCGAGCCTCTTTCCACCCAGTGAAGAGCTTCCTCAGCCACTCGATGTGTTCCTCTCTCTTCATTATGCGCGCCGTAGCCTCATCGTTGAGCTGGATCCTCTGCACCGCTCCCGTCGCCGCCTCGGCCACGACTTGCAAGTTCCTCGTGACCCCGGCGCCAAGGTCCCTCCGGCTCTTCTCCGAGAGATCATCTACCAGCGCCGGCAACACCCCCCCGCGACGGCTGGGGCTAGTGCATCGTACTTCGTACCCGTCCTCCATCCAGCACCCTACACGCTATAGCGTCAGGCTATGACTTTTTGCCGAAAATAAAAGGGATAAAAAGCGGTATCCGGTAAGCGCCAGCCCCGAGGCAGAGCCCGCAGCCGCCGCGAATAATGACGCACACACGCACACACCGATATGGGGCGCGCCAAACCCATTCTCCCATTTGACAATGCACAGGAAATGCTCGCGCATGTGTGCGATGTGCGTTCATGCCTCTGACACACACATACCCCAGCCACACTTATGACACTTATCACCCCAATGAACACGCCAGTGAGGGAGGGCGAGACGATCGAGGGGTCCCGTACCACGCGGAATCGACCCTATCCAGTGCTCAAGTGCTCAAGAGGAGACCGCAGCCAGTGAGAGTAGATCCACACCGCAGGGTTCCGGCTCCTACCCGGATAGGGGGTCTGTTGGCACTGACTCGCGCCAAAACGCCCTACCTACCTACCTATCCCCAGGCCGCGCAGCGAAGCGAAAAAAGATGAAAATAGGCGGTACCTACCTATTGCAGGGCCCTTTTGGGCCAAACACGACCAACCTACCTACCTATCTGGGAGGGGCCAGCCAGTGTGCAGACCCCCTATCCGGGTAGGAGCCGGAACCCGGCCCCCCCCCCGGAACCCTGCTCGCGGCGGAAAAGCCATGAAGGTCGCCATCGTCGGCGGCGGGATCACTGGCGCGTCTGCAGCTTCCAGCCTGGCAGGCTATGGCATTGAGGTCACCGTCTTTGACCAAGGCGGCCGTGGGCCTGGCGGGCGGGCGTCCCACCGGCGGGTCGATGCGGCGTCGGGCACGGTCGGCCCTGACGATTCGTTGCTCGCGCCCGAGGACGACTCGACGTACGAGTTTGACCACGGCTGCCAGTTCTTTCGAGCGGACTCGCCGCAGATGCGTGCGATCACCGAGCGGTGGGTGGAGGCGGGCTGGGCGAGCCGCTGGGAGGGGCGGTTTGGTCGCCTTGGCCGCGGCGCCGACAGCCGCGGCTCCAACGACTTTGCTGCGGCGCCCGACTTCTTTGGCGTGCCTGGGAGTGAGGGCCCGGTGTACACGGGCGTCGGTGGGATGCACCGGCTGCCCCGCGCCATCCTCGCCGCGTCGGGCGCCTCTGTGCGGCGCGGCGTCCGTGTGTCTTCCGTGGCGCCTGCGGCGGGAGGCGGGTGGGCGCTGCGTGGCACCGGCGGGCTGGCTGCGCTGCACGACACCGCCAACTCGATCGCCGACGGCGTCGACGACGCGCCGCTCGGGGTCTTCGACGCGGTGCTGCTCACGGACGCGTCTCAGTCGCTCGGCGGCTGGCACCGCGCCTCTGCGGGGCTGGCTGCCGGCACGGGCAGCGCGGAGGCGGTCGGGCGCGTGCGGCACCGCGTGCGGGTGCCGCTCTTCTCCGCCATCGTCGCGCTCTCGCACCCGATCGGCGAAGCGGTCGGACTCGACGCCTTCACCGTCAGCGGAGGCGGCTCTCCCCTCTGGTTCGCGGCGAGGTCGCAGTCCAAGCCGGGCGTGCCACGCGGGGCGGCAGAGTGCTGGACCCTGGTCTCGACGGCGGACTACGCGGTCCGACAGATACAGGAGACGCCGATGCAGTCGCCCTCGGGCGCGTTTCGGCCGCAGGAGGACTCGTACCTCCTCTCCGAGCCCGGGCCGGCCCTCTTCGACGCCCTCCTCGCCGCCGTCGCCCCCCGCCTCGCCGCAGCAAGTGTCCCGCTACCCGCAGCCGTCTACATGCACGCGCAGCGGTGGGGCTCCGCCCTACCCTCTCCCGCCTCCGTCTTTGGACGCGACGCGGACGGCGCGCACAAGCCGCTCGGCTCGGCCGCCTCCGAGGCGGTGGAGGTGTGCGGGATCCGATACGCGCCCCGGCTGCCCCCGCTGGTGTACGACCCTCCCGCGCGGACGATCGGGCAAGGGCCGGCCGAGGAGCTCCGTGCCATCGAGGGCGTCGATGACGGCGGGAGTCCAGACGCCGACGCCGCCGACGCGATTGAGTGCGGCGGCGGCCTCTTCTACGCGGGCGACTTTTGCTCTCGCCGCAACCCCGGCTTCGAAGCAGCGGCACTCTCCGGCGCCGCGGCGGCGGCGCTCCTCCTCCAACGCCGCGGCGAGTCTCTCGAGGACGTGTCCAGGAAGGGTCTAGGAAGTGTCTCTCGAGGAGGCGAGTCTGCCTCGGCGACTCTGCCGCGCCCCGCCGTCGCAACGTCGCTGGCAGCGGCTCGCGCGGCGGCCGACCGGCTCGGCGAGGCGGCGGAGGCGGCGGGGGCGACGCGCGGGCTCAACCTGCAGCCGGCCGGGCGGGGCCGCTTCCGCGGCGAGCGTGCGCGCGTCTTCGAGACGGCGGCCGGCGTGCGGCTCGTGTACCAGCTCTCCCTCCGCGCGAGGACGCCGATCCTCCTCCTCGGAGGCGGGCAGAGCGGTCGCGCGCTCGCCTGCACGACGCCCTGCGGCGCGGAGCACGCGGCGTGGGCGGGCCACACGGTGCTGCTCGTCGACCGTACCAATTGCGGCTCGAGTGACGTGGCGTACCGCGGCGGCGCAGAAGTGGACGAGCAGGCGGCCGATCTCGCCGAGCTGCTCGACGCGATCGCCGCCGCCGCGCCGCCGCCGTGGGTCTTTGTGGGCCACTCGAGCGGCGGCCGGCTGCTCGGCCGCCTCGCCGCCCGCCGCCCTGACCTCGCCTGCGGCCTCGCCCTGTTGATCCTCACCGGCGGCCCAGCCGCGGCGGACGGCATCGGCAGGCAGTACTACACCCGCCACGCCGGCGTCGCGCGCGGAGGGATGGATGCCCTCCTCGCGCAGGGCTTCTACGCGGAGCGGGCCGCGGCCAACGAGCGGGTCGCCGAAACGCTGCGAGCCATGCCGCCGCCCGCCTTCCTCGCAGCGATGGAGGCGTCCGCCCGCCTCCTCTCCGACAGCCGCGCCGAGCCTGCGCTCGGCCTCCCGGCGGCGGACCTCCGCCGGCTGGGGAACACGCTCCCGATCTTTGTCTGCAACTACTACGGCGACGGCGAGCACGACGGCATGCACACCGCCTCCACCAGCCGCGCGGTGGCGGCCGCCGCGGGCGCGAGTTGCGAGCTGGTCATCTCGAAAGACGTACAGGTGTGGCTGCCCGCCCTGGCCGCGTTTGTCGGGCGGGTCTCGGCCGAGGTGCTAGCGGCGTGAGAGCATCGAGCGCCCGCGCCGCATTGTTGTTTCAGTGTCACACACACGACATTCACACCGGTATAACCCAAATTTCAACGAATGACAGGAAGTTTGTCGTATAAGTTTCTCGATTCGGGGCTTTTTGTTTTCCTTGCAACCTAGCTGCTAAAGTATACGCTCTAGGGGTTCCCCCATGGCCATGCCAGGTCCCAGGAGTTTCGGGGGGGCAGCAATCGCAAACCCTGCCCGGCCCCTAGCGCCCCCCAGTTAAGGCCCAGGTGTGGCCTAGGCTAGGGCATCAGAAGGGACCAAGAGGAGTCCAGTCTGAGCCATAGAGCCCATGTGGATGCCATGTCTTTGCCCCCGAAGGTCGCGTTCAAAGTCAGTCAGTCAGTCACAGTCAGTCAGTGTTTACACACGTCCCGCTAGCATGGACGACGGGGGGCACACGCACTCGCGGAACGCAGGGCATTACACACGAGGCGTTGTGTGCGTTCTCAGGGAAAGGCATCACCAATACTTTTGTCTGGTCGCGTTCAAATGCCCGGAGAAAACCCCACGGTGCACGCGGACGTTAGAGTACACACATTACAAGCGTCTCAGAGTCTCAGTGGTGTCCGGCCGGCGCGATCACCGAGCTGTGACGCTCAGGGAAGCCTGATGAGGTGCTGATTTCTATGCCCAGAGGGCTGGCCTTCGGCCCCCAGGCTGGATCAGCTGAGCAAGGTTTGGGGGGAGAATCCCCCGGTCAGATCTTTCAGATATTTTGACGGGGAGAACGGGAGATGTGGGACCGAATTACGAGAAATGCGGGGCAGGAAAAACGCGGTGATGTCAAAAATGTGGTGCTTGCGCACAACGCAACGGCGTGTGAGAGAGCATCTCAGCATGATGTGATGGGAATCACAGAAAATGAAGAAAATGAGCTTCGAGCCGCCGGGCGGGGAGTGCGCCCGCCGTGGCGCACGACTCTTGCGACTATAATCTACCTCTTCTACCTAGCGCTTGGCGGCGTTGATCGCGACCTCGCTCTGGGGGACTCCCTCGGCGCGGCAGCGAAGGCTCGGTGGTCGGTGACTGTGTGGTAGGCACGCTGCACCCTCATGAAGCGGTTCTCCGCCTCTCGCCTCGCCTCAGGGGAAGCGCCGCGAATCTTGTCGGGGTGCAGCTGCAGCGAGAGCTGCCGGTACGCGGCCTTGACCTCCTTGGCCGAGTACCAGCTCGCCGGTCGCGAGGAGAGGCCCAACTCCTACCGCCATGCACTACCAGACGTCAGGGGGCCGCACGCGGCATCGCGCGGTGTATTCAGAGCACCGCGTGGACGCGAGGGCCACGAATACGGCTGGAGACACTTGGGCCAGTGCCTCCTCGCGCTGCTGGTCGGAATACGCGGATCTGTCTGCCGCATCTAGGCCTAGAGATATGGGGAGATGGGGGGAGATGGGGGGGGATACGGAGCGGTCTTCCGCATCTCAGCTAGCGCCTTGTAGGCGTCGCCCAGCGAGAAGCCCACGCGTGCCCACCGAGTGCCGCCAACATCCCAGTCGAAGCACCTGATCGCGCGCCGGCCAGCTGGTGAGGACGACACGCAATCTCGCCGAGATCTCGGCGGCGGGGGTGGGTGTGAGAGGGGGGGTGGGGGGTCGCGCTTGTTGATCGAGTCGGGAAGCACGCAAAGCCGCTCGAACGAGCGGCCTGCCAGCGCCTGCAGCGGCTGCTTGACGCAGATGGGCTCGGCCTGGCGCCGCCATCCCCAGGAGTACAGCCTACCGCGCCGCCGCGTGAGAGTCAAGAGCACCCAGGAGGGGGGTATGGGTGGGTGGAGGGGGGGGGGGGGGGGGGTTTTTTCAGGGAAACTTCTACCGCCCCCAAAAAGGGGGAAAATTTTAAAGAAAGGGGGGGGGGGGG